GGATGTCTGGAGTCAGGCAGCTGCTGATGCCTGTGTGAATTGATGAAGTGTTTAGCACTGTGGGTCGTCTGGGCACAGGGTCAGAGAAAGCCAGGACATGGGGTGGCATGCATGGATCTGCTGCCTGGGGGTGACAGGAGGTGGGTCTGCTCTTGCTGGGCAGTGGCTCCTCAGGACAAAACCTCTTTGTCTCTCAGAGAAGCTCTTTCCAAAATGCTATTGCAAGGATTCAGGAGATGAAACAATGGTGAAAAGGATGATCCATTTTTTACTAAATTTCACTTTTTCTAGATATTTTGATACAGAGTTCCGGCAGGGTAAAAAAAATAATAAAATTCTGCAGCTTCCTCTATCTGGCGACATAGTCAGTCCATACCTGCCTCTTTCAGGACAGATCCTTGCTCTAGGTTCTTGCATATTTACTTTGTGCTCAGGGAACCAAGTGTAGGAGCACACTACAGCCTGTGCTGCTCTGTTTGCTCCCTGTGCCAAGGTGCAAGTGGGGAAAAGACAGGACAGCATGAAAAACGGGAACCAAAGTTTCTTAAAGCAGTCTAAATGCAGGGCAACCCTGCTGAGTTTGTGATGTTATATGAGAATTGGCTGAAACAGGCCTGAGGGTTGGGCCACCCCAATTAGAGCCTCAATTGCAGCATTTCAAAAAGGACATTAAAACATACACATATAGCACAAGTATTAGAATATGAAACCCCCCATCTAATCTGAGATATGGGAAGAGCCATCACCTGGCTCTCTTTGGTAGAGAGAGATCTATGATCCTTTGATAGTTTAACATACCTTTTTATAGAAAACCAAAACATGCTGATCTGACTTATTATTCTTATTATTATTGACAGCTTTTGGGTAGTCTGGTATTTTAGCCATTTCTCTTCCTTTACAGCAAAATACCTCAGTGCTGTCAATGCAGAAAAGCCTGTCCCCAAACAGTGAGACTGGTGTGACAGTGTTAGGGACATGCAGTCATGCTTCCCTCTGTGGGAGTCTTACCTGCACGAGAGCTGCAGGCTGTCAGGCTTTCCCCTTGGAATGGCAGCTCTGCTGCACAGGGTACATGAGCAATTGCTCCTGTTTTTAACATGTGGGATCATGAGTTGCTCTTCCACTCGGTGTTGGGGTTGAAAAATACTGTTGAAAATACAGGAGGCTGACTGAGAAATCAGTGAGTACACTCCCTGATGCTCCAAATTTAGATATCATGATTGATAAGGGATATAAAATTGATTACTCTTTTTTCAAGCCAAAAGATACTCTGTTGATATGATGCAATTTCAACGTTTGTTTTAAGAATACAGCTGTGTTTTACAGTCAGGTGTGCACCTGTATGCGCAGGCACACGTGAATGGAATAACTGCAGTATTCCAGCACTGCCTGGAGTTAGGTGCTGTAGGAAGCTGGCAGTATGAAATGTACTATGAGTTCCCCAGAGTAAAGCACAGTACCTTTACAATAGCATGGATGTTGGAGTGGTGCTGAGTGAGAATGTTTTCCCCTACATAAATGTGCAGCTAGTAAATAGAATTTCACAATCCCCTTATTTTCCTTTATTTCCTTTTATTTCTTTAAGCTGAAGGGAAAAAAGGGGGGAAAATGAGTTTCCTATGGAAGGAAAACTTCTTGGCAGGACAACAGCTCTGTGCATGCTCTAAAGGTTAATGGATCCAAGGAGCTGCTGAGCACAAGGTGTGTGTGGTGGGTGGGAGGGGTTCACAGAGGGCCGGGTGGGGTCACCTGGGGCCAGGACTTTTGTGAGCTCAGGGAGCTTCGGTGGTCAGGGTGCTGGGTTATTGTCATGAACAGACACAACCTAATCCCGCAGAAAAAGAACAGATAACCACATGCTCAAGGCCCTGCCGCGGCCCCGGGTTTGCCCCATGCCGCGCTCCTCGGGGTGTGGTGCTGTGTCGGCGCTGCTCTGCCTTAGTGGAGACACAGGGGCACAGCCAGCTCTCCAGCAGCCCTGCTCGCTCTGGGGAGCGGGTCTGTGCCCGGCCGGGCAGGGATGCCGCCGTGAGCAGCCGGCAGCCGGGGCTCCGCGGCCTGCGCGCTGCTCCCGGAGCCGAGCGGCGGCTCCGCCCGGCCCGGCCCGGCCCGGCCCGGCCCGGCCCGAGGATGCGCCTCCGTGGCACCAGCGGGGCCCCGGCTCTCGGCCTTGGGTTTCCTCTTGCTTACGGATAAAGTACAGTGTGGTGTAAGAGGGTTTCCATGGAAGGAAACTGAGGAAGCCAGGAAATTATTTTCTACGGTAAATATTTATACGTATATTATTTAGACTAATACAATCTTAAAAGTTGATTTTTTTTTTTTTCACCCAGAAATTTGGTATTACCTTTAGCATATGAGAGCAGGAACTCACTGGAAATCATAAGAGAGAGGTCTTGGTTAAAGAAACTGCAGCTAAGGACCTCTTTCTTTAGGAATTTCCAATCTTTCTACTGATGGATTCCAAATAGCTACTCCGAAGCTCTTGAGTATGATTTGCAGAGGATATATCCATACAATGATTTAAGCCTGATATTCACAAGACAAAAGGTTTTATTGCATTAAACAAATCCCCGCAGTTCTCTGGGTTAACTTGCTGCTTGGTGAAAAGCTGGGGACACCAGATTGCCAAGTGGGTGAGGAAAGGAAGAGGGAATTGGTCTGATGAGCTGAGGAGTCACAATCCAGTACTGGAACCCATCCTGCACCCTCCCTGCCCTGCGCTGTTCTTCCAGGCAGGATTCAAGCCTCTGATACCTCAGTTTTCCTGCCCAATTACATGAAATGAGATCAGGAAAAAAACTGTTTACTACAGCGTGTTCTAGTTTTTGGATCCAAACAGATTGCTGTACATTGGGTGTGAAACTTCCTAATGTTTTAGAAATTATGCTGGAACGTCTCTGACTGACAGCTCTGAGCAAAGCACTTTCTGAGGTTATGTAAATGCCTAAAAAGAAATCTAACCCCAAATCTTAGTTGTGTAGCAGATTTGAGGCCTGTGAATTCTATGCACTGCCAGATTTTAAAGCCCTGCTGCTACCTTACCTTACATAAATACTCATAAATACTTACAGTAAGTGTCCTAAAAAGATCTTTGGTTGCTCAAGTGAGCTAGAAGAAAGCATTGCAGGGCTGCCCCATCTCTACTGGTCACAAGGAACATGCAATTCTGCCCAGGGTGATTCAGCAAGAGTCAGGAACCTGCCCCCCTTCACATCCAGATAGAGCTGTACATACCAGGGATCACATCCCAGGCAGAGGAAGGAAGTTATTTTCATTTATGATGCCCAGTAACAGGGCAGAGACCTTTCCTTCTGTGTCTGTGCTCTAGCATGGCGCAGAAACAATTTTAAGACATGTTTATAAATTCCACCCAGGTGTTGCAGCCCTTGCTATGAATCTCAAAATTGTATTCTAGATTTATTAGTATTGGGCTGCTTCTGACACAAGGGATGTGGGGGACAAAGAGCAGCAGCTTCTGTGCTATAAGGAAGCACAAAAAACATGTCAGTACACTTGTAATTTTATGCCTCTAAATGTTGTTATCCAAATGTCATTGTACTTGCAATATTCTGTGTGCATTAAATCTTAGGTGCAGAACCCTATCTTATATCAAAAACGTGAAAGTAGCATCATAGTCTCGCTAATGTTTTAGTGAGAACCCTTGTTAGCTCTTATTGCCTTGTCCTTTGTGTGACTTAAGGCAGAAAACCAAGAGTTTACTGCATTTTAAAGAGTTCAGAAAGATGTTCTTAAGTTAATGGAAGTCTTTCTTTTCAGGGTTTGAATAGGTATGTAAAAACAAGGGGATTGAATAATTGCAAAGTTGATGTGACAGAGCACACTAAATAATAGCTGTGATTAATTTTGTAGAATTGTTCATGAATAATTGGCAAAATGTTTTCTGTATGCGGCAACTTCTAGAACAAGCTGACTCATTATTGCATTTAAGGAGTGGTACCTTGAGTTGAGATCTGTGGTACCTTGAGTTGAGATCTGATGCCTATTAAAAATTGCAATTGATTTATTTTTTTGGAGAGATTGAATTGGGGTCCTAAAGGACCTGTGGCATTTTCAAACAAAATACCTGTTGTTTCCTTTGCTGCTTGTCCCCGGCTAGGTAAGAAATCAGCACTAAATTACAGCATTTCCCACTTCTCCTCTCGTGAAGGGAGCAGAGGAGAGGGACAGAACGCCTGAGGAAAGGGAAAAGATAGAGGAGGAACAGGGAAGACAGGAATGACTGGAAATAGTAGACAAAGAGGGGAAATGGGAGAAAAAGCAGAAAGGAGAGAGAAGCAGAAAGAGACAAGGGAATGAAAAGTCGGAGAGTGCAGGGCTCATGTGCCCATGGCTGCCCTAATGAGCTGCTGCTGGTCACAGGCTCTATCTGGTGTTCATCCATGTTCAGCTGGCCTGAGGTCCACGAGGAGCATGAGTAAGCACCAGTTCCCAGCTAAATCTCAGCAGGTTTAGTGTTTACCAAACCATGACAAAAGATGAAGTTATGTCCTATCTGGCCACACATTGGGCTCTTTTTATTTTTTTTTTTCTAAGAGGAGAGCTAGCTGATGTTTCTTGCTGCTGTCAGAAAAAAGAAAGTCAGTGATTGTGATTTAGAGGGGCTAAGCATTTAAAATAAAATATACATTCATATAAAGTGATTTCATATAAAGATTCAGTGATAACCAGATGACTCAAATCAATGCATCCTCATCAAAGGCCAAAGATTATTTTGTAAGGTGTTTATACACTGTCTCTGCCCTCATTGTATCCTCTTACAGATTTACAGATGGGGACAATGAAAACACGTGTTCCATTCAATTACTTGCTGCTGCCTTATAAAAAGCCAAAGCCCAATAAACTTCAATATGGAGTAAACTAATAGTGTCCTTGTGAAAGAGCAACCTGAGGAGTTGTGTCCTACTACTGATAGCAAAAACAGACCTGTCACTGAGATTCAGTCTTCATAAAAAGCTAGGTTAAGATAAGATTTGAAATAGTTTGGCTTGGCATTTCCAACCAGTTGAGAATGAATTCTGGACTTGGGTTGGCAAGAGTTAAGAGCATATCTTCTATAAATCTTTATTTTGTGCTTTGGAGAGACCAGCACACTTGTCCTCTGGTAATCAGAAATATTGCCTACCCTCACACAAAGAGTAGAGATCTGATAAAAGCTCTGATCACAATTTGTGCTTTGCTTTCCTCATCATCAATGCAATTTTGAAGTCATGTTTAAGAGGAAGTCCATGCATTCCTCACTGAGCAGGAATAACCCATCGGGTCTGAGCAGGAAGAGTTAACATCCTAGACATAGTGCTTTGTACAAACCAAAGAACATAAAGAATATTCCAGGAAAGCCATAAAGAGAGATGATGCAGTAATTGTTTCTGGGACATTAGAAATACTGCTGTGCTTCCAAGTTGCTGAGTGAGCCTGACTGCAGTGTCTGGCTCAGGGTGACTCTGGGGATGGCACTTTCACAGATATCAGCAATGCAGGGTAGTCCCAAGCAGGTCCTGAAACTTTAACATGTGATGAGGCCAGAAAGTAGTTTGGTGCAGTGATAATGATTTATTTAATGCAACTAATGTATGTAAAGATTCATCCAAGACAGTGAGGAGTCTGCCAAGAGCACTTTCTTGGACACCACAGTGATCAATCCAGGCTGGAGGCTGGAGGCTCGAGTATAGGTCTGTGGGATCAAGCTACTAATTTTTAGTGGGTTTGAGCTGCTCTTAAATATACTTTCATTAGTTAGGGTGGCACCACCAAGTCTGCTTCCTACTGAGCAATAGGAAGACAGAAAGAGCATCTACAACAGTAATAGTTTTACACAAATTGATTTAATATCTGGAATAATAGGAAACTTACAGAGCTTGGATGAGGGATGAAGGAGGTGGACAGAAAGAGGTGGAAATAGAGGAAGAGATCTCAGCTGGCTGCAGACAAAGGAGAAATGTGTCTTCTCTCTTTTCTCCTGTCAGCTGAAGCACACCATGTTGCACACAGGTGCAGAGAATGCTTTTGGCACACCCATGAAGCCATTCTTGACTTTGTGACCTGTTTAGTGACAGGTGAACAGCCCCTGGGTGAAGTGGGTGTGCTGCCTTTTGCACCCTTTTGATGTCTTATTCCACAACTGGGTCCCACCACAGGGTCCTTCAGGCTGTGGTTTACTGAATGGTCTGCTAAGGGGCTTAATTACAGTCTCAAATTCCCAAAGGTTTTTCTAGTCTGTCTAAAATATTTATGTCTGCAACAATTCAGACCTGTTTATGTCTCTTTTTTTGCCTGCTGGGTAAAAAGTAGTTTGGCTTTTACAATGTGTCTGTATACAGGGTTTTAGTAGCTTGGATTGCTTTTATATGTTTATAATGAAAGTAACAGCCCCTTAAAAATTGGATTATTGATCATGGGAAGACAGTAGGTATTTTTAATCTTCGAGGCAAGACTACAAATAAATCAAATTATATGAAGTATTTTATTTAAAGGCATTTGATTTTATTAAAACTGCTACATCTGGTGTTTGCATAAACGGAATAATTCTGCTTGTTCATATGAGGGTTCAGAGGAAACCATGGTAGGCGTTAGTGCTTCTCACTCAGTAAAGTGCACTGATGTCAACAAGTCAAAACTAAACTCTTTCCAAATTGCAAAAAAAACACTGAAAGATTAAAAATTAAGGATTTTGACAGGTGTAAAATTCGCATTTCAGCTGATAAATTGTCCACAGGAGTTGTGATCTTTTTGCACAGATGCACATGATGCACTGAAAATGTAGGATACCATCATGTGCACCTATACATACATTCGAAGTGTAGTTGAGCATGTGTGTAAGTGTGTAGATGTATATTTCTAAACCTAAATACCTACATACATATTGCACTGTCATGAGGCACCACGGCTGCTTTTGGCCCTGCAGTCTGTGGCACTTCTGTGGATGTCCTGTCCAGTACCTGTAGCAGTCTCTCTGACTGTCCTGCTTGGAATTCCCACCCTAGTGATGATGAACTGCAGGACAAACACCCTCCCTGTCCAGGTGTCTGAATCTGGGGGTTTGTTTGCATGTTCCAGATGTTTGCTCTGCCAGATTTGACCACAGGAATGTGAGGCCAGTGGGCTGAGCCTCATGAAGCAGAGAAGAGAAGCAGTTAGCCTGGAGTTTGCATCTTCCATCATTTCCAAGGGCGAGGCAGAAAACTGGTTTCTCCCTGGGAGAAGTCAACCAAAGAGGAGCTGTGCCTTGAAGGAGGTGGGAATGTGTGCATGCCAATGGTCTTTGTCATTAAACAGCCCTCTTCAAGCTGGCTGAGGAGCTGACAGGATCTGTCGATTCAATCTTGCCTTCAAAAGACAGGAACAAAATCACCACTGTAACTTTTTGGCAAAGCAAAAGGTTTTGTTTGCTGGCAAGGGTTTAACTCACGTGCAGCCCTGCTGCCGTCCTAGGATGTCAAAGAAAGAGGCTTTGCAAGTCAAATGCTGCCTGCCTCACCAGCCTGTCTTACCCCAGTGATGAAGTGCTCCAGCATCAGAAGTCACCTTCTGTGTTCAGCTGAGCTCAACTGGAGTCGTGCTCTCTGGCTGTGCTGTTAAGTGGCTCTGAAGATGTTACAGGTGCAGAGCTGTGCTGCTGTATTTCAAGTGATCATAAAAAATCACTGGATAAATTGAAAAAGTGTGACTTTTCATTGTAGCAAGCTTGGACTGGATAAGCAACTCCATCATTGTGCTAAGGCAGCAGATGCAGTCAGTGTTTGGAGGAAATGGTCATGACCTGATGATCCAAGAGATTCAGTGAGGGGAAAAAAGATGCTGGATGCTCTTCATGTCAGAGTAACACTGGTGGGACAGGCAAGGGAAGCAGAAGGACCAGACAGTGGGAGAGGATGGGAGAGGATGAACAGAAAGGTGCAATGCAAGCAGAAAACCCCTTTGCTGTGCTTCAGGCTTACTCTTGTGCTCAAAGATGTGGGATAAAAAGCAATAGCTTCAGGAAAAGCCCTTTCCTGAAGATCAGCAGAGCATGCCAGGAGGGTGCTGCAGCCATTGTCTCTGCAACCAAAGTGAGGAGCAAAGCCACAATCTGATGGGGTTGGGCTGCAGGGGTCAGATTCAAGATCTGGATCACCCTGAGAGTTGGGTCCGATGGTTCCCCAGAACCAGGGAAGGCCCTCAGGCCCTCTCCCCACATGGGGACTCACAACCAGCTGGGACAGGGTACCCTTGGATGCTGGGATGGACACTCCCCAGAGAAGCATCACATCAAAGCTGGTCCTTAGCCAAGCAAACGTGGGTGGGCTGTTCCTGGAGTGTTTGGGTCGGTGAACAGCTGGCCCTGGGAATGTGTGGGCTCTGGGACCCGAGCCGTGACCTGAGGAGGGCCCAGGGGGCCAGCATGCTGCCCAGGGACTTCACCCTGAGGAAGGGCAGCTGTGAATCTTGGCAAAAGCCAAGCTGGTCTTGCATAAATTCTCTGGTAGTTCAGGCTGGCCAAGTTAAACATGTCCCTTACCTTGGCTTTGTCACAACTCTGACAGAAGTCCCAGGTGTGGGTCAGAGCTGCCCCTGTACATGGCACTTGCTGGAGCAGGAAGGGTGTGCAGAGATGGAGCCTGCCTCTGTCAGGGCTTGGCCATCATGCTCCCACATAGGTGACTCACTGAGGAGCCCCTTGGGCAGCAGGTGGACACAGCCTCTGTTCCCTCTGAGCTGCTCCATACAGAGGCTGGGCAGGGCAGCCATGCTGGGGCCATGGCTGCTCCCTGGAAGGAGGAGAGAGAGATCAGAGAGGGGAAGAGTGTGGACTGGGAGAAGGTGATAAAACAGGTCCTCAAGGCAGGGGCTGAGGTTGATATGCTGCTGTTGTGAGCTGCATTTCCTGACAGGACTTGCCCCATCCAAGGGTAGGTCATCTTTCCTTTGACTCAAGAGGGTGTTGGGGGGTGTGTTTGCTAGGCCCAGAAACCAGTCGCTGCTGCACTGGGTCTTTACATGGTCAGTTTGGTATGTTCTGCTGCCCTCTGATCTGCAATTTCTATTTAATTGTTTACATGAACTCAGGTTCTTGCTGTCTTGGGGGAATTTCACCTAAGTAAGCGCTGGGAAAATTTACCTTTATTCAAATCATAGCACATAATTTTTCACTGTATTACTTTGTTTAGGTCCCTTTTAAAGAAGTTAATAAAGCTGGCAGCACAACTCCATTGACTCTCAGCAGAACATCTCTCTCATTCCTGAGGTCCCTTTCATAACCAGTTATATTAGTACCCTTCATTAGCATCCTGCTTTTCTCTTCAGCATTGCCACGCAATGTGCTTTCTTTTGTAGTACCTAAAGCTTGTGAGATAACTCAGTTTGCCTCCCAGTGGGGGAGAAGGTATCTGTAATCTGTGTTTCGTGTCTTGGGTCTCTTGAAAGGACTAGAAATCCCAAATGAAGTAACTTGTGGGTTTTCTGTCTTAGAGAATTAGGATGTCTTTGCATTACTGAGCAGGCAAACAGTGAGCAGTGCTTGATCAATAAGAGGCATTGCCAGAGGTCTGCTATAGTCTGCCACTGCTGATGGTAAGTGTTGCTATAGGCTATGGAACTAGGAATATAAAATGTCAAATGACAGTAATAATTCATGCATCCTGGGACATATAAAACCAACAGCATGTCAATAGCTGTGGCATGCTCTGCAGAAAATATGCAGGATTTAGACGTTGCAGGAGTCTGTTTTATTTTAGACCACACTTTCCTTGGTGAAATATAGACTTTCCCTGTTTGTTAAAAGCATTTATTTTCAGTTTCATGTTGCTGCTTCTCTATTAACATTCTAAGAGCCACACAGCTCAAAAGGGGCCCTGAGATTCAAAAAGCAAAATATATGTATTTACTGAAGAAAAACACATAAAATATTTATAAAACAGAGGGTGCAATACTATTTGAGATTCATGGACCATTTCAGCATTCATAAAAGCAAATATGGTTCTAGTATTGGCTTCACCTGGAATCAGACTTTACTAGAGAGGTTACCCAGGAGGGACCTGCCTTAAAATGAAACTTATTACAATCATTAATTTTACATGGAAAATCATTACATTTTACATGGAAAGCAGAATGTCTTGTGAAATAAGTAAGAACTTCTCTAATATTCATCTTCTTTAAAAATACTTCAGGATAATTAATATCACTTTTCTTTTACGAAAAGATATGAAAAGGGTGAATTACTGCATCTGGGAGGGCACAGCAGGCAAAAGAAGAAAGATTGTGTGTATCTGATACTTGTTTTCCCTTGTGCCTCTGCTGCTTGGGAACCTAAAAGTGAAGGGTGCTGTTTTACTGGCTAAGGCTCCCACAAAAATTCTTCAGATGAAACTTTAATGAGAGAAGGGTAAAAATATATTTGAGCAGCCCCATTCTTATGCTTTCAGCTGTTTGCTCCTGAGCACCTCAGCTGTGGGTTGTCAGGCCTCAATTTCTGTACATTTGCTTGAAAGTAGAAGGGCAAGACAGAAAAGTTGTGTGTCCCTCATGATTACATGAATATAGGGCTTAATGTACAGGTAATACTTCTAAAAGAATGTAAAATATCAACTGAAAAAAGAAAGAAGGAAAAGCATCACAAAGAAATCCACTACACATTATTTAAATCTCCCCCTGTGAGAGGCTGAGCATTCAAACACATACGAGTCGTTTGCTCTTCCATGTGGCAGCAACCCCTCTGCTTCAGAGTTGCGCAGTCCTGGCGCTCAGTTGTCTGCTTGAGAATTTTTTTAAAAGTTATATATTAAAAAAAATGTCTTAAATATAATTTCCATTCTTTGAAGACCATAACGTGATTTTGGGGCAGTGGACTGTACCCATATAGACAGGCACTAATAGATATTTTGGCACATCTTGCTGAAGCTAGCTTGATATGGAGATGATTAAAATAAATAATAAGCAAAATTAATCCTGCTAACTGTCTGAGACCTAAGAAAAGGGATGTCTTTGTTCTGACGAGAACATCTTGGCTCGTTCTGCTCCTTTGGCTTGGTTTGGGGAGGATGTATTTAACAGTCCTCCCATGATACTTGGCAAATATAAAGCTGTCACATTGGATCCTGCTTCTCTTTGTATTAAAAGAATGTCTATGGTGTTTATGTTATGGGAAAAAAAGCACTATTTCTACTTATTGTATTTTCATTGTCTCTTTTCTTATGACTGTACTGTTTGCCAGCAGCCGAGGGGCCACTTTGATGCTTGCTTTGATACCATGGTTTATTGTGTTGCACAGTTGAGCCTATGGTTTTCCTTTCAAATCAGAGCTGGCATACTGGGTGAAAAAAAAACCAAACCAAAAATAAAGCTTTTCTCTAATTATGGTTATCTCATAAAGTCTGCATTTGTTACAGCTGCTGGGGTGTTGGAAATCAGTGTTTGTAAATACCTATATATTCTGATTTGTTTTCAGCCTCAGAGATGTTTTTGTCTGTCTGTGTTCCTCACCCCTGGCCATTCATGCAAGCAGCCTTCCCTACCTGCACGCCGAGCTGCACTGCCTCGGGAAGATACCAGCCTGTTACCCAGCTTATCTGCATGGTACCAACTTCACCTTGTTCCCTCTTCTCACTCTGAGGGATTAGCATCCAAAGAAAACCAAATTAGTCTGGTATCAATTCAGCCAGGAAAGCGAGTAGCCCAAGCGACCAGAACGCTCCTGCTGGCAGGACTGAGTGCAGAAGGAGGCTGGCAGGGTGTGCTCTTTGTGTGCTGCCCAGCTCCACCACGCTCTCTCAGAGGCCCACAGGGACACCCTGGGTCCTGCTGTGGGGAACCAGACTCTCCTGTGCCCACAGGAAGCCTCACTTGCTGGCTCCATGCTCCATGTGGCAGTGCCAGTTAGGATGTGTATAATGCCTGCTTGGATGTGTCTGTTGCTTTTCTCCATGTGTCTTGTGGTCATCTGAGAACTGATGAGGAACCATTCTGTTTCCATTTTGCTGATGGAAAAGGAGAGCCTTTGAGAGGCTGAGTGATTTGTCCAGGATTATGCAGCAAATCAATGGGAGAAAAGGGGATCAGGCCATTCTACACAGGAGTGCCTTTAACTGTCCCATGGGCTTTCTAGGGAAAGGCATGCAGGTCCCCAAAGAGGCCTCTTCCAGCAGTGTTCCTCCATTATTTCTGTCAGATTAGTGCTGTGAACAGTGGAGAAATGCAAAACATATTATTCATTTCTCCTACTCCTAAAATCAATAGCTATCAAAATACAAATACAATTTCAATCAAAAGGCACTTATTGAGTGCAGATCCTACTAATTAGGTATGATTTCCCAACACTTTCTTAAATTATTTATCCAAGGGATGGGTGAAAGGCGCTTTATATGTCCCAGAGTGAATATTATAAACCTCTTGTCATGATACAGAAAATGTGAAATGTAGTGCAATGCAGTGTGATTTGTAACCATGATGAACTAATGTAATATCAATAGACATCAATCTGTGCAAAAAAATAAATCTGTCTCATCATAACATCTAACAAGATATGTCAAAAGTCAATAACCTTGTGAAATGGACACGTATCAGTGAAGGTTACAGACTTTGCTGCTAGGAATCAATTAAAAATGTAATACCCACTTGCAATGGAAATTACTACACCATCACCAAAAAGGAGGTTTACATCATGCATGGACATTTGTCATAAGGGCAGCTCCCTTTAGGCTGGCTGTTGGCTCTGTAAGCAATTCCACTGCAATAGATGGCTTTTTGGTTTTTTTTCCTCTTATGCTGCTATTGCTTAGTTTAGCCCCATAACCAACATGCAAAAAATATTTATGCCATATCCAGTTAAATATATTTTTAAAACCCATACAGAAAAGAGCCAATGGTTTTAAAGATTTTTGTGTAAAAATTAGAAAGCAGCTCTCCTGTTAAATGAAAGATTTACAATTTTCAGACAATAATGTAGATTAATGTTCTTCAATTTTTAATTATAAGGATTTTTCTCAAGCTTCTTTGGATCTTAATTTTCAAACTTATACTTCCATCCATACAGCAGATCTTAAGGCTCCACCACACCAACCATGTGTCAAGTGAAATTCTTGATCCAATCATATAGATGTGATACCCACTCACCAAATGCTTTCAAATCAATGATTTAAAAGAAGAGTACGAAATATTATATATGTTTTCTCCTCAATTTTTGAAACCAATTGATAAAATATTCACTTTTTAGGCATTTTACTTTGCCAATGTAATCTGATAATAACTTCAGGACAAGTGTAACTTTGAGGCCAAAACTAAGGATTTGAATGGGAAGGGAGGTCCTATGGCTTCAGAGACAGCAGCATGTGAGGGGCTGAAGTAAAACTATCAGAGTAATTCAGAGCTTAAATTTTTATCTTGGTGCTTTCTTGTGTAGCCTTAATGGTGACCAGCCCCCAGGAAAGCCATCAGGAGCCTGAGCAAAAAGCTGCAGTGGTCCAAAGTGCCTGTGTGGTTCAGCTGCTGCCGGCAGCCCGCGATCACTCGGCAGCACTTCAGTGCAATTGTGCAACCTGGGATTCAAGGCAGAGCCATAACTCAGAATTTCATGGCATTTTAAAGCACAAGTCAGAATTTTAATGGTATTTCAACCTTCCTTATTAGTTGCACAATAAGTGTCTTTCAGCCAGTGTTCTGCAAATTCCTTCCTGGTGGTCTGCAAAAGACACAGCTTGAAAGTCAGAGCAGTGGAGGTGAATGCTGGGTGTGTGGAAATGGATCTTGAATTGATGGGAGGAATAAGGGATTCTGAAAAAGCACTGCAATAAGATGGCATGGGATAATAAGGGTAGTAGCAAAAAGTTTAAAAAAGCATGCCATGATTAAATTGGATATATAGGATAAATTCAACTTCAGTTATTCAGCTATCCTGCTTGTATTTTTGTTGGTTTTAATTAATGAAAGTTTGTCTGGCAGGTATGAAAGCAAAGTTCAATCTCAGAATGTTTGAATTAGAACTCCCAGCTCCATCAAGTGAAACAGGCAATGCTACATTTAATGTTTTGCATTTTCTCATTCTGTTTAAATATGAATGAGTATCTGGAAGGAATATCCAACATTGCAGATACTGTTTAGTGATATATTCTTCTTATCTTCTTTTCTTCTGTCTAATGCCTTTCATACATGCTTAAAAACTGTGTGATTGTATCTCTGATTGTGTATTAGTGACTGCAGAGGTTACCTAAATTGAGACAATGGACTAATTTTTTTTCAAATGCAGGGTAGAAGCACATCTGTTTCAAACAGATTTTTGAAATGCCTTTTGTGAGTTCAAATCACATACAGTAATGACCACTTAAGTGAGCTCCTACACACACAAGTCATTTGCAACAGTGCTAACAAATGTATCTATAAAATGTCACTTGCATTTTGGTGTTCTGAAATAGGCTCATCCTCTCCATTGCCCTGGAAAATTCAGCCCTCTGTTATGTAGAGGATTCTAAAGAAAAGCATGTGTTCTTCCTCATGGAGGATGTGTTAGCTACTGTATAACTGTACTTGATATATATTTTGTATTTTGCTTGGGTCTCCCTTTGAGTGAGGCATAAAATTTTTTTGAGTTGTAACTAACACTGTTTTCTAGCCATGAATTGTTATAATTATATAAGATTATGAATATAATTGAGGTAATAAAACCAAAGCAAACAGTCTAGATTATATCTCTGGATTGTATTCATAGGTCAGAAGTGTGGTTTTGCTGAATATCACATTGATTTCAGAAGAGTATAGTTTGGAAATGATCACATCAGCTGAGGGGCTATACCTTACCTATGAACCTACATCAAATAGCTCACTTAGCCTTTTTCCACAGATGTCCTTTCCAAAGATAAAGGTGTGTACAGCCTGCAGGTATCTACAGTGGGCAAACTGAAAGTAAACAAATAGAAATGTGTTCATTCAACAAATTTCTACTGTAAATTATTTTGCCTTAAACTGTGGAAGGATCAAAGAAAAGCTTTGCAGAACAGCTTCTCCATCATGGAGCTGGATTGCAGCAGTGCTGCCTGCCTCTGCTGAGATGCAATCTGTCCTGCACTTGTCCTGTGAAGCAGGAAAGTGCTATTATATTTAATTTTCAGAGAGAGAGCTAAGACATGGACAGAAACCACGGGACTTTTCTGCACACCTAAGGGAACTCTGCAGAAGCTGAGGAGCTGAAGAAAGCTGTGTGGAGGCCACGGCTAATAACCTAAACCATTAGACCATTCTCACAAAATCTATGTTGCCAAATCTGCTGCCACTGAAATCTGAAATCAAACATTAGCAGCCAAGAACATCATGCTAATTAATTGCCTCAGGAGGACACAATTTCCAAGATCTAATGAAAGACGGAATCCAGCTTCCATATGTCCCATTTGATAGCCCAAGAAAACATGGACACATTTTTCAAAGAAACAGTGACAAATGTCCAAGTACTTGTCTCTCAGCTGAATAAAACTAATCACCAGGTCCAGGGATAGAAATGGCTGCTCATCAGCACCTAGCCTGAAAAGCCAGCCCAGGATGTCGCTGACAAACCATTTTCCTTCAGAATGTTGAAGGCAGCTTCAGAAGGTGACAGCTGAGCACCAGAGCCCCTCTGTTCTGCCCACAGAGCAGCATTACTCCTGCCTTGCATGCAGCTGCCTTGTCATGGTGCTGGTTTATTTTAAAAAATAATAATTAGGGACAAAAAAAGTTAGCATGTCACATTCTTGACGAAATAGTGAGGAGAAGGCAGAGGTATCAGTACTCAGAGATATGTGCCAGGGCTGCCTTGCACTGCTATAAACTTGTCCTTGCTTGAACTTGCCATTCCTATAGATGGGATGTTTGTGCCAGAGTGGCAGTGGTGCACAGCCCAAGGGAAACAGTGAGGGCTGGAGAGCCTCTGCCCTCCCAGAGAGGCAGGCCTGCCTGGCTGGGGAAGCAGAGCCCCACTGGGATTGTCCTAGCTCTGTGTGGCTCTGAGGCATACAGAATCGTTCAGCCGGCTTAAAGACATAATGTTTCCTTTAAATATTTATTGTTTGAAGGATCCTGACATGCATGAGAAGGTCTGTACTATGTAAAGACCACATGCTGTTGTGGCTGCACTCACAGTCTGCCACGTTTCAGGGGATGCAGGAGTCATCTCTGTGCACCCTGCTCCCACTGCTGCTTTGCTGGTGTGAGGTGTTTCACACAATTCCCAGGTTTGTTTGGATAGAGTTGAATGATCAGCTTGTTGTAGCAGACCTGACCATGAGGCATGAACATCTTTTGCTTGCCACAGCAACAGCCCCAGCCTGAGGGCCATGCTCAGAGGATGGTCGGGAATGGCTTGGTGCCCAGCGAGCAGCCTGGGAGGGGGCACAGCTATAGAGCAGGGCTGTGACAGGCCTTGGTGTCTAATCCAGGGTTTCTGAGTGACCCCTTATCCACACAAACAACATTAGTATTTTCTAAGGGGTCAATTCTTGGAAGCATACAACATTTTCACTTTCCTCTTTCACCTTTTACATATAATTCATGTGAAACTTCTAATCTAAAAAGAGTATCTTGACACCCTGTTTAGTAAAAATGGTTATGAGGAAAGCAGGTACAAATTGCACAGCAAATTTTCACTCTAAATATTGAAGAAAATATATTTTATTCTGTCTATCCTGAGGAGATTAAAGAAAAAAAATAAGAAGGTCAAGGTAAGTAATTGTAGCACACCATCTATTGTGTATTTCCTCAAGATTACTCCGGTTGTACAGAATAATGGCATTTCTGAACTTCAGTAACTTCCACCACACAAAGGCACAGCATTTTGACAGGACTCAGTAAATCATTTAAAATCATAAGGGCCATTATGCAGACTGTGTGATAAAGTTAGAGACAGGGTATTTTTCTGCAATTGGTCTTCAATTTCCCTCTAGATTTTAGGTGACATAAAGCTCAAAAGGAGCTCCTAGTGCTACTCTCCCAGAGATGAGATCAACACTTATGAGGACATGTTTTGATGACACAGCTCAGAAAATTGAAGGGATTATTATTATGGAAGGACCAAGGTGATAAGTACTGTGTTATATATGAATAACTGTCAGTCAGACAAGCCAAGAAAGGTCATAATCCATTATATTAATGTCATAAATGTTATCATAAACTGACATCAGGATGGTAAACTGGGATTCTTGCACTTTTTAAAGTGCTGCTGTTCTTAAATGACACTGTCCTGGAAAGACATGTTGATATTAATTTTTCTCTCAAAATAAAAGACTTTAAAGATTTTCAGCAAAACAGAAGTAGTATTTTACATATTTGTTTGGGGTGTTTAAACTTTTTTTTAAAAGAAACTGACTGAATTATCACAACAGTATCCAAGATACCATGAACAGATGGAAGAGGAGAGACCCAATCATTTCTGAATGTTTACTGTCCCCCTTTGCTTAATCTGAACTGTAACTTTCACACTTCACTAAGACACCTTCTGGGGGCCACTCTAGCTGAGGATAAGAGAAGCAGAAAGGCAGAGGTGGAAGCTCCTGGCCTGGCTGCTGACTGCCCCAAGTCAGAACTGCACCTTTCTGTAATTCACTCCCTTGACATTAGTATTTTTCCCATATCAGATATGAACTGTGATGATACTCAGGAATGTATGACAGTGAAAAAGACAATTTTATGTCTTTTGTGTTGCTGAGCATTTTGATGCCCACAGAGAGCAGGCAGCTCAGTGGATGTTACCAGTGCATGGCTCCTCTGCCATCCTCCTTACCCTGGGCTCCCAGAGGAGGATCCCCAGGGATTCAAATGAGACTTTGTTCTTGCCAGCACCACAGAGTGCTCCATCCATTGCTGACCAGTTACGAGCCAGCAGTAAATTACTGTCACTTCTGTAAAGCTGCTCCCAGCACAGACTCCCAGGTGAGAGTAAGGGAGGTGAACTCTGAGCCCATGCAAAACCAAAGCCTTGTGTCCACACTCAGTAACATTGCAAATTCTACAAACAAACTGTGTAATGCTGAAATGTGGGTGCATCAGGGGTGAAACAACTGGACCACTCATTTCCAGCTTTGGGGAGAACGCCATGGTAAACTCCAGAAATGCAAGAGGAATTTAAGGTGAGTTTTCACATCCCACACAGAAGCCAAAAGAGAAAAGCAGGGTAAGTACTTCTGGAAGGTGCCATGCTGTATTTACTGACCACATCAGATCAGAGCCATGGTTTTCTGTCAGAAGTTAGAATGCAAGATGTCCAGCAGCCTCCTGCAGATGTATGGCTGTGGTGCCACTGTCGTGGGCAGGAGGCAGCCCTGGTGAGGCACTGCAGCACTTCCTGCAGGAGCTGGCTGTCTGCAGGAGGCATCCACTGGTGGAGGGTGCCTTGCAAAAATCACCCATCTAGTCCAGCTTGTACAATCCACAAATAAGCCATGTTTGTACCATGCAGGTAAAATGTTCAGGGTGAAACCAATGTGGGCTAACTTGAATTGTATAAATAACTGCAAATGATTACTTCAAATGAGAGCATAATGTCTGGAACCATAGGCAGGAAAATACATTTACAGACTATCAAATTATCTTGGGATAATAGTGCAATGCTTTTCACTGCTGTACTTTGTGTTCTTGTAGCTGAGCAAAGAATACTACTGCTGAAAAAGGCTCTGAATGTCAAAGAGAAGAGATTTCATAAGTAGAGTGCTTCCACATAAGAGACTGCCATTTCTGTTATTTTAGGGGAACATTAGAAAACCCCCAGCAAACAAAAAAGTTATTTTTTATGACTTGGAACTACACAGAATAACATCTGATGATAAACAAACCTTTAGAAAATTTGTCTACTTTATAATATAACCTGCAAAGTGCTTCCTTGTTCATATGAGGTTACTTATCCCTGTGATTGCAACAAAATGCTTTTGATCAAATGTGTTTTCAGAACTGGCACAACCAAATCAAGTAGCTAAGCTGTTATATCAGTTTACATGCACAAGTGCTGTTTGAGTATAGAATTTTTGGAGCACATTTTTAGAGAAAACAGAGTGCCCTTTGAAATCTTGGAACTAAAGCTGTATAAATGCCCTAATGCTGTTTATGATGTCTGTGGAAATACATGACACTCAAAGTGCTCTTAGGATGCTCCAAAGTATATCAAAGAGCATTAACTTCAGCACAGCTGGGAATGTCCCCAGCTTCACTTATGAATGCATGTTTCTTATATCCTGTATATTAACTACAGCTACATACAAGGCCACACTTAATATAGCCCTGCTCATTGAGAATAATCCACATAGTAAGCCTGTTAGGTAAGGTTTAGCATCTACATTTTTCTGCTCACATCTGCTTGCCTGACATATATAATCTGCCTGGATGTCACAGTTTACATCCTATTTTCATTGGACGATAATGAAACTTGATCAGTGTCTTCATCTCCTTCTCTGTCGCTCCAAGAAATATTTCTGCTTGTCAGCTCCCCCTTACCAGGACTCTCTGGAGTGACCCTTATCCAGGTCCTTTATTAAAGGGTAGTGCATGCAAGGCTTGAAGGCAACTGTGCCATTTATCATTGTGCAAACTGCGTGCGGAAAGTGCTACTTACAAGACAGTAAGGAAATAAAAAGTGATATAGCAATTTCCTAACCTGAATTTTCTCTACTTCCTTTTCTCTCACAAAGGTCTGGCATATCACTATTTTAGTAGCAATAAGTCAGTATTTGCTTTCTGAAGACTTATGTTTCTGCTGAAGTCTTATGAAACTGAACTGTAGGCACCTCAGTAATTTTAGAACAGCTTAGTCTGAGAGGTAAATTAAAATTAGGGAAAATTAGACCATTTTTAATGAGATGGTTATTACACTGAATAATGATGATTATTGCTTCTGCTTAATAAAACTGTCAGCCAGTGCAAAATATATATTAAGGGAAATTACATTACATTCTATTTCTATCAAGTCAGAAATTTGGTGTGTTACTATCCCAAAAACCATGGAAATAATGAAATGTTAGACAGGGCTTCCTTTTCCAAATAGGATCAAACATGGAGCTTTCAGAAGCAGCCCTTTAAAGCCCTGATGTAAAGCCTATTAAATCTAATGTTTGTGAAGATTTCTGCTGACTTCTGTGCCATGCAGATCAGGACTTGACTGAAATGAGCAGTGTTCCCCCTGTTGTCTCTACTAAATACCTAGACAACACCACATGGTGAATGCACACCATGCTCAATGCTTGTTGGCACACCTGCTTTTCTCTTCTGATTTACCTGGCAAATTAGGAGATGGACTGCATAGGGTGAGACACACTGTTATTCCCAAAGTGAAAACAAAGAGGAATATTACCTATTATCTGTTATAATAGATGTAAAAATTAAATCCTGCTGTGGAAACCTTGGTGTGGAAGCTCCAGACACTTAGAGAAGAGGCACCTCCCCAGAAGCCTGTCCAGAGACATAAATGACCAGGAAATTTGAGTGCTCAGCATTTTTTGTTTAAATGTAGGCCCACTGTCAAAGCCTGCCTTCAGCAAGAGCTGCTGTCCTGAGGAATGAGAGCTGGGGTGGCTCTCTCCTCTGTGCTGGGAGTCTACAGGACAGTAAACTGCCAAATGGACAAAGAAGGGAGGTGGGAAGTGAAGAGTGCATTCCTACTACCAGCCCTTCTCTGTGTAGGGTTCAATCTAAAAGGATATGTTTTTGTGGAATAATTTTATATAAATTAAGCCACACTTTTCTTACAGAAAGGAGTTTATTGCAGCTGCAGTAAATTTTACAGATTCTGAGAGAGATCAAATAAGCAGCAAAAGCTGCATGACTCAATTCATGCCTATACCAACTGAACCAGTGAACCAGGGCACAGAGGTGAGCAAGTCTTTCTATGGTGCATGTTAAAAACTGGACAAACAGAGATTTACCATATAATTTTATTTTTTGAGAGCACTATTCCTCATACAAAGAGCAATGTATTATCTTAAATGAGGATAACATGATTAGTAAGTCACAGCACATGTGTTTCTCAGGTTTTCATACTTTGAAACGTTTTCAAATCAACAAGATTTCTCATTTTATGAAGCCCATTTTGTAAAGTTCCATAAAACAGGTTCAACAGTCACAATTTCATTAGCATGATATTGTTGCCATGGTAATGTGGTACCAATTCAATGGATGGGCTTTTCATCCTGGGCTTATAGAATTGCTCTTCCTGTCAAAAATACATCTATATGGAAACAGCAAACAGACCTTACCACTGGAGTACGAGCACAAAATATCACATGCTAATTTGGCTAGGAATGCATCATATTACTGGCAGCAGACCCAGAAATCATCAGAAACATAGTAGAAGTTGCTAAGCACCATACACAATAGCAAAGTCACACTTCAAAATTAGGAAAGTTACACACATTCATTGATGCAGTATCTGAATGTATTATTGCAAAAGCCCTTGGTTCTACTGTGTTCATTCTCTGAAACCCTGTTAGGAGGGCACAGTGCAACTGGGAATATTGGAGGAAACAAAAGCAGTAACACACTAAAGAATAAAATGTGAGCTAAAGGTGTGTTGGTCCTTCTCCCATCTGGGTGTTCTGCAGCATGTTCTGGGCTAATTGCTGCCAAATGCAACACCTTGTTTCTCTGGTCTGTAAAACTGGGATAAAGCCCCCTCTGCCCCTGTGCAGTGTACCTGGTGTATACCAGATAGTGAGTGATGGCTGGTATTGCTAAACACTCTCATTAAGTAAAGTAGAAATGCTTTTAACAGCTCCGGGAACATGCACTGCACAGATCTACAATTTGAGAAATATCACTGGGAGGACCTGGACCCACCCAGGGAAATGCAGAAGAGATGACAGACTGAGCAGGTAACAGTACATATGAGCTTATGGAGGAAGGATACTCACATCATTAAAAAATCATGACACTTTGTAGGTTTTTAAAAATAAATATTGCAGGCTGCAGGAGAAGTATCCACAACAATCTGAGCAAGGAATACAATATAAGAAATAGTACAATATAAGGCAACAGCGGGGTGGCTTGTTTATAATATGTTAAAACACTTTCTTGTGTATTTGCACTGGTTTTTATGATTATTTCTTATTTACATAGGAAAAGTCTTTTACCATCCTGACACATGATGTTCAGTCTATCATTCCTTAGTTTAATCATGTTGTGTCCTTTGTAGCAGCAAGGGAAATTACAGACAGGATAGTATTCAGTATAATCAAAGATGTGTTCCACTTTACATGATAAGTTTTGTCTGATTTACAAAAGCAGTATCTTCTCCAGCTGAGTGAGGAAAGAGAGACCTTAACTTGCAGAAAAAAAACCTCAGGGAATAGGCTTCTCCTCCATTAGGATCCTATTGTTCACACACAAAAAGATAACTGTTGTCACCACTATTATCTATTTATTTACTTTTACCATGATATAGCCACAGGACCCAACTGAGGCCGGGACCTACTTGGCTAAGCACAGCAAAACCCCACAGAGTGCTGCAGTCTCTCCTTCAGACAATTTATAAGCCACAGGAGAGGAAAGAAAGAGAGAGGGAGAGAGAGCTCAAGTAACTAACTCTCTAGGTCAGAGGAGAAGTCAGTGGCAGAAGCAGCTCGGATCTCCAGGCCCTGAACCCTCCATTGGGAGGCCTGTCCTGGTGGGTGAAGGATATATTTGGAGATATCCTCCACCAGATTCTGAGGATTCACATCTAACTCATACACAGAGCCATGCTTTACCCCCTCATTTCAATGGCTGCATCTGTGCTGCTGAGCACGGGCAGCCTGAGGCAAAGCTTGAGGTCAGCTGTGAAGCCCACCCCTATTACCTATTAAACACCTTCAGGCTGGCTCCAGGACAACCCTGTTAATCCTCTCAGGGACAAAGGCTCAGGAATACCCTATGTTTTTTGAGCATGTTCAAGGGCACCAGGGTCAGGGTATCTGCCAGAGAAATATTAATGGGTTTCAACACCACAACTGAAGCAATAGGGTTCAGGCTTTCTTCCTTTGGAGAAGGAACTTCCAAATCCAAGCTTGAACAGATGGAGGGAGGGGGAAAAAGACAGGAGATTTTGGTCACAAGAACAAGAAGTCAGTTTACATCAGAATTTGAAAGCTTTGATCAGTATGATGTCTTAGATTAGGAAAGCATTAGCTTTGAGTTTTTCTTGCTTTCTCCTCTCTCTCTCTCTCAAATCCATATAAAGTAAAACCATTAGACTCTCGGTGAAGAGAGACATTCATCTTCTGCTCGGTAAATACCTCCTTGTGCTGCGTGGTGCCTGCTGACTTTACTGCTGTTGCAGCCTTTTAAAATGCTTCCAGGGAATCTCATTCCATTTTAACTTTAATTTTTTTTTTATTAAGGAATCCGCAGAGAGTTTATAATAATCCCAGTTTAACTTTTTAATAAAAACTGCAAATAATATGCTAGCATAGATTTGATCTCATATACATATCTGATAAAAATTCGGATCTGTAGTAAAATTTGTTAGCCAGGAGTCTGTTGTCATCATATTAATGAATATAAAAGCTGGCGGCTCCAAAATGGCAATATTACAGTAAGCCTACTTTTTTTATAATGGTTTTGCATTGTGCATTCAGTATTGATGAAGATTAAGATTTAGCATGCAGAAGTAATATCCATTATGATGGGATTGTCCACAGTGAATTGAGTAGGACATTTGCTTAATTAAAAGTATTTATCTTAGATGATTTAAGACATATGTCCTACTACTGAACTGATGATGTAAATTAGTTTCTTATAATCAGTTCACCACTGATGACTCCTTATACTAAATAGAAGAAGAAGAAAGTAAGAGAAGAGTCAGAGGAAAATAATAGATGCCACTGCCAGAGAATTTAAAAGAACTTTAGAAATAATGTTTAGCTAACCCTATGCTATGAGCAGGACATATACATAATCACACCCCTAATGCAGAGATCTCATAGAGCCCTAAAAGGCTGCACTTCAAGCAGAAAGTTTGGAGATGAAGACATGAACACATACCCAGATTCCCACTCCCACCCGCTGTAGCTGTGCCTCAGAGGTGTTTGGAGGGCAGAGCCTGGGGATAGGAGGTGGCACAGAGCCCGTGGTGGGTGAGCCCTGTGACACGGTGTGGGCATTCCCTGGCTTTGGGCACGGGCTGGGAGCTGAACTGCTGGGGCTGGCAAACTGGGGCAGAAGGGAGGGCAGGAACCAGTGGGATCTCCTCCTCAGGGTGGTTTTAAGTGTGTTTATAAAGACATACTGAGTGGTTTAATCTCTTATACAAATATATTTTAAGGGAGAACCCCAATGGGTGGAATGCTTCAACCTCTCTCAATTTTACAGTCCTACAGCCCAAGTTTCCTGGACTAGTCCACCTTCCTTCCTGCCTCACCAAATGACTCATGGAAAGCTGTTGATCTTCAGTCTGTGGAGACAATCTAACATCAGCAACTTGCTGGGGGTGCAGCTACAAGGTAGGGCCACATCCAACTCCTTTGAGCCCTCCCATCAGCTCAGGTGTGCTAGTGACATGAAGAGCTCATGACTCCACTGCAGAGACCTACTTGTTTGCTTCCTGGAAACCCTGCAAAGCTGCCCCTGAGACAACTGGGCCTTCCATCAGCCAGACACACAAATCACTCACTAAATAGTTTTGGCTGGGGTTGTTGGACAAAATCTTCATAGACAGAGCCAAGAGGACGGGCAAGAAATATTTATGTTCTCTGTGCCACATGTTGTTTTTTCATAATTTCTTCTTTTCTCCTTTTCACACTCCAGGCATTTTTTCTTTTTACATAGGCTAATAGGAAGAAATACTGTGGCTTACTCCAGTCATTTAATTTAAGTAATTTGTTTTAATTCTAATGATGAGCATTCAAATAGCAAGTGACATTTGTTGATATATGTTACTCTTCTGAAACACTAGAAAAAATATCTGACCTATTCTCTGCTAATGCCTAGATGACATTTTAGGGACAGGAGCCACCCTGGGAAGGGGATGTGCAGGATGGGAGCTGTCAGTGGAGTGCATGGCCATGAATCTGGTTTTGATTTGTTCCCTGTGATTTTCCAGGTGAGCCTCGGACTCTGCCTATGGTCTGTGCTCCCAGATGACAGCCCCACGATGGCAGATGGAGGGACATCCCAGGCACTGCACGGGGCCTTTGCTGCTCCCAGAGCTGCCACATGCCATGGGACCCCAGCTGCTGGATGCCTGACCCAGCTCGACTGCTGCTGGAGATGTGCTGGGGCTGGCTCAGCCCTGCTTGCTGCTGCCTGTCTGCCTTATTCTTCTGAGTTATGCCCCAGCCCACTCCTGTCCTGTTGTGCTGCTGCCTCCAGGCTGTATTGAGTTTTCAATTATCACAATATACAGTGCAGATGCTATGCAAAACAGCCAGTGAGGCTGAGCACGCTGAACTCAGGAGAAACACAGTTAAATAAAAGTATTGCTATAATACCAGGAGGCTGATTGGAACCACAAGATACCAGTGTCATATCCTGTGGCTTTTATGTTGGTAGATGTAGATTTCAGCCATTAGAGTCTAGCTATCCAACAGATAGCAACTAGAGGAAACGGATCTGGGTACCTTCAGTTGTGAGTAAGTGAACCACATTTGCCAATAAATGCAGAACCTGGTAAACTGCAGAAGAAAGAAAACATTTGAGATACCTACAAATATATCCAGGCATGTACTGTGGGGTAGCATCTAACTGTGTGCAACTTAAACTACCTGAACACAAAATATACTTAAAATGGTGCATCAAGAGAGCTCTGACTTCAGAGAAACAATGTGTGGTTACTTGTCAACCCCAAATTCAGGCAAGGAAATAGCCAACAAGTGTAGGTCTCAACTCCTCTATTTGTACACGCAGTAACAAGCTCCCAGATGATAATGATATTGTGATATCTATGTGGGGGTAAAAGACTATGAAGAAAGAGGAAGAAATAAGCAATAAATACAATAATGTCAAACTTTCCTGTTATTAACTTCTAGAAAAGCCCAACAGCTGGAATTTTAAAATGTTTTACATAGAAAATGTAAAGAGAACAACACATCGAGTGTGGTTTTTTCCAAAGGAAAATGAAATAGGCATACAGAGAAAATTATTATATTTAGTACTCTCAGGGCAAATTCTAGTTAAGGACTATGAAATAATTTGAAAATATTAATGATTTAGCCTCACAGCTAGCTTTTAGGGAGATAATAATGATAATTATTACTATAAATAAATAGTATTATTATCATTTTTATTCAGAAGAATGGAATATTGATGCATAGAGAATTCTGTATTTGTCCAAAATACAGAATATATTTGTCTGTGTTTTACTACTATAACCATCCCTCTCAAGAACTATTGTATATATTAGGATTATCCTTTTCCAAATACTCTTTGATATACTATTCAGTTTATCAGTTCTAAAAACCAACCAACCAAGTTTCCTTGTGAAACAGTGCCAGTCAACATCTCCATTTGCATGTGAATTCTCTAGCAGCAACAGTCTTGGTTAAAAAAAAAAAAAAGATGAAGAAGAGAAAAGGAATCATGAAAATCAGTACAAAAAAATCTGTCAAGGCCCCATCTGTGACTGGGTATCAGAATATCACCAAGAAGCTCTGAGGAACAAAGTTCATTCCAAGTCTAACACATAGAGCATTTTGGTCGATGAAATTAATTCAGGCAGGGAGAAATGAGAGTGCATATCATGAAAAACTCTGTTCCTCCACTGAGGATCAAAGAAAAGAAGCATCACTGTGTGTGGTCTTGGGTTTGGTGCACAAAGCCATGCTTAAACACTACAATAATCAGTGTGCTCATGTCTTTTTTTGATAGCCAGCTGCTCCTCTGAGGAGTGCCAGGGAATGAGGGACCTCTGGTCCTGGCAAGATGAGGACTCCGATTACATGTGATTGCTGCAAAAAACAAGATTTACAGCTAGCTACCTGAAGCAGTATGGAAACAAAAGTATAGTCTCCACCCTGGCCTTGAAAATCCCTCTACAAACATGTTTATTTCCTTCTGAATGGGAATATATAAAGGCTGGGGACACTTATTTGTAGGCTATTTTTATATCTCCTCTTCAGGATCTGAATCTCGCATATTAATGAACTACAGGAAACAGGAAAACCAAACATTAACACCATTCTAATGCAGCATACTATTTTTCTTTCCCTTTTTTAAACTGTTAGAGTATGCAAATGTTCAGTTAACTGGTCCTCATGTTTTCTCTTTATTGAATTGCTTTCACTATGGCAAATAAATATTCATAAAGAAATGTGGACAATAAATCATTTCAAATAGTTCAAAGCCATTTTCTTTCTAGACTGCATATATTTTCAGCTGTAACTCGCCTTTAATATTTCATTCAAAAGACAGACTTGTAGAAGGACAATAGAGATAATGTGTCAAGTAGTAATTAAAACAGGGAGTAATGATTAAAACCATTTTGATCTACATTGTGCTCTGCCAGATTCATAATTTCCTGTGTTTGTTAGGATGACATTCTACTTGCTTTATACAGAAACTCAAAATAAACTTCTGTTTGAAGACATTGCTGAAAACACAAGATTTCAACCCCGAGCTTGTGGGTTTAGGTGTATCTTCTTTACCATGCTAGCAAGATAAACTCAGGCAGGCACTGTCTTTCCTGCTAATATTGTGACTTCTCCGGGAAGCAGATCCAGGTGCAGAGCAGAAGACATGGAAGGACCATCCCAGTGTGTACAGGTAAATGTCACCTGTCTCACCATTTAGATTTAAGCTAAGAGCTTCAAAAGAAATGGAATTTAAAGATCTGGTTAACTTATACATTTGGTTCAAATTCAAGTAATGATTACGCTCCTTGTCTCATTGTATGTTTTGGCTGTTAATACACATATTTGGCCCAAACTCATTATCTTTCCTGATATGTTGCTGACTTTAGACCCTGATTCAACAGAGCACTTACATACAGACTTAAATAAATTGATTTAGGATATCATCCCTATTTCTGTTTAATCTTGGGCAGACATTCAACTTTCAAATCAATGGGACTTATGAAGAGCCCTGACCTTTGGGTCTAAATATTTGCCAAATCAGTGCATTGATAGAAATATATTGGAAAAGATACATGTCTAATAAGAATTTTAGTCCCTACTTTCATGGGTAAATACCCATAGATAACACATTATTCTGCTCAAGAAATCCATTTTATAGAATTTATCAGAAAGCCTTAAGTCATGTTCTCTGTTTATGTCAAAAATACCAGATGAACAGTGTCAGTCCTTGATAGTGTATCTGTAATATTCTTCAAATAAATAAATAAAAGTCAGGAAAAGTGCTGACACAAAAGGGCACTCATAATTATTTACCAATACCTTCTCAATTGCCTAGCATGTGGCAATTCTGTGGAGAGCAGAAAGGTGGAATGTCCCACAGACTTGAAGAAAATTGCATATGAAATACCATGGGAAACTCTTCCCTAAAACCAGCATTTATAACAGTCATTTATATACACATGGAATTTTGAGAGATCACATATTTTTATTAGAGAATGAGGGCAGCCAGGGTAAACCCGTGGATGTTTCTAGTATCACAATGTAGAGGTTTTACAAGTGCACCTATAGCCAAATCTATGAGATTAAAAGAAGCAGATGCTAAAATAATTGATGCTATGAGTCTCTGAAATAAAATTATCTTCTTGCTGTTCTTAGAATATTCACACTTTAGTTTTCTTTATTATGTTATTAAGAAGGCAAACAGAGGCTGTCAAAGATTGTTTATAGACTGGAAACAGATATAAAAGGGGAAGTAGATTACAACAGGTCCCATCATATCATGTAATTTGAAGAGTGATGAGTATGAATGTCAAAAGAAGACGCAGGAAGAATCAATGGGTGCTACATCTGTACAACCATAGGGCAGTACTGCAATCCACATTATCCCACTGGGTTCTGTGGGCAGAGTTTGGGAATAATGCACAAAAAACAGCTGTTGAGTGTTCACCTGGCTCACACAATCACATGGATCTATCCTAATGCTGCCTACACTCACTTTGGAGGTGGTGAGTCAGCAATTTGGAGCTGCTGTATTGTACACTCACTGCATGCAGGCTCTGGAGCAAGGCCCCTTCGAGCAAGGAGAAGAGTGCAAGGGGAAAGCACAAGGGTCTTACCCTCCTCTATGACTCATATTACAAAAAAAAAAAAATTATAAAAAGCTCAATCTCCCTTTTGCATCTACTGTGCCACAGGGAGGGGGAGATTACAACAAATACAAAACAGTCACTGTCTCTGATAGGCATTTCCATATTTAGTCATGAATTGGAGCTAAATTTGCTAATTTAAGTCACCTGCTCTCAATGAAATCAATTAGTGCCTAGCAGATGCAAAAGGATTATGAAGCTCAAGGTGAGCAGACATAGGTCCTTGGTGGATGAAAGGCATTTTCCAGTGTGGGGAAAGGATTTCTTTAATCAGTCCTTCAGTTTCTGCTGAAATTGTTCTGCTTTAGTGAACTTCATTCTAGAGGTATGTTTTGCAACTGATTTAAAGAATTTGGGGTTTCACATTTTTTCATCTTTCCTGATACCTTTGCTTAGAGTGTAGTAATGGTTTTTCTATGCTGCATATAACATACAGGTCATAGAAAAAAAAAAATGTTCCCCCCTCACTTCACTAGTATTTACACTGTTATATCTTTTGAGGAACTACAAAAAGTCACCAGCTCTGCTCTCAAACATTATCCTTTTATGCCTATTCCTGTTGTCAGAGTTTTTCTCCTTTTTAACTGATAATGATAATGATGTGTATCTGAAAGTCACTTTTATGAATCTGCTTTTGACTTTATGTTTTGGTTTTGCTTACCAATATTGAGTCAAGTTCTGGAATATAATCGATTTGCACTGAGTTTGTCAGAGATAGGCAGACTTCTGGGTGCTTAATATTATATCCTAAGCAATTTAGCTTTTTTCATTACCCTTTTTACTAAAGAAAAGACTAGTGTATTCTTTTTGAAATGTGTAATAATAAGGAACATGTCAATGCATGCTAATCATAAGGAAGAAAGTCCTACAGATGCTCAAATTCTTATGCTTTTAGCAACAGTTTAGCATCTATTACTGTAGTTCCCTATGGAGCAAAAGAAGTTCAGTGCAGGTTACCCTGTATACACCTCAGACCCTGGTGCAGCAGCCAAGCTAATGGCAGATGAAGTGCAACACAGATTAGAGTAACTTGATAGGAAAGAAATATTTCTAAATGTTCATCCACAGAAGTGGGGAAAGAAAAAACATTTCCCACTGCAAGCATATTTCTTT